GCGCCCGCCCTCGCTCCCCACACGCTGAGGGCAAGAGCTCCTCGCAAGGCGCTTTCCTTGACTCTGCTTTTAATTATTTAAAGAGAAACGTAAATAACGGATTAAAATGAAATAAAAAAAATGCGTAATTTTAATTATTTCTGCCTGTGTTTACTTGCACAATGGAAGATATCTCTATTTTGGGGCTTTCTGGTTGAATGGCAGGTATTAAGGAAAAAAAATAAGCCTCGGTGCCTGTAATAAGCACAGAAATGCTTCCCCGTTTTCTGACAGCTCCCACACACTGCACGGTCACCTAGCCAGACACAATTCTAGTCACCTTCACTGCCAAGGCCATTACAGTGACATAACTTACCAGGGTGACACACACCCCGGTTACACAAAGCCAGGAGCGGGGCAGAAACCACCCAGAAGCACCTTCAAAAATTAAAAATTGTAGAATTACAGCTTTCCAAGGGAACCATTTTTCTGCGTAWCTCACACGTAAGAAAGGCCCCTTACCAAAGGATGAGGGGGTAAATCTTGTTCCCAATCACCAATGTTGTCAATACAGGCTTGCTAAGAACGGGCAGAGGGCAGCAGATAAAGCAAGCAGGTGGGAGGCAGCTGAACAGTGCCAAGATGAACGGCCTTCTATGTCATTTCAGCTTTAGAAGCTTCTTTCTAGCTACTAGATGCTCTACTGCTTTTGAATTGAAGTGACTCTATTAGTCATGCATACACTTTATTTCAGTCAAGTTCATTTTTTGACAAAAGATGAGGTAGGAAATCTGATTCAAATTTGTATTTATGGCAAGCACCATGCATTTGGAGACAGAACACATGAAGTCTTGGTTCTGCCTCAGACTCCCCACACAAACCTCAATCAAGTCCACAATATTTATTTCTGAAAGGGTATTTTACAAGTTACTCAATATTTTGGCACTTYAATGAATATAAATTCTTTCTCTTCACATTTGAAAAGCAGACGGAAGACTTTKGATTAATTTAAGACGAATAAAAACACAAAAGGTATGAACAATGCAACAAATCAGGAGGTGGGCAGGGTAGGGATGGGATAAATAAACCCAGCTTGTTTAATATAAGAAACAKGCAACCTATTTTTCTAAAGGATGCTACAATTATGATGACTACAACCTTGATTGCTAGGACTAAACCAGAATGCCTGCAAATGGTATTTTGAACTACCAGATAGAGATTTCATGTGGAGACAGGAAATTTGACAGCCAGTCAGTCTTGTATTCATTATGGGGCCTCAAGTAATTGAGTGAATACAGACATGTATACAAGTCTCCAAAACCTAGTGAGCACAGGAAATTGCCAAGGGAKGTTTTCTGGACCGGGAGAAGCAAATCTGTTTTGGTAGATGAAATCTGAATTGAAAATGGTGGTCTACCCTTTTGGAAGTTGCAATGTAATGGGATCTAGCGAATTCTTAAACTCTTCTGAAGAAGGTTTCACCTCCTCAATCACACAGTCTCCGACAGGCTACTGGAACTTGCTTGTGGCTTCTGACCAGCTTCCAAAGCCGCTCAGACGCCCCTACAGGCAGTGCATACTTGCTGGCAACAGGAACCTTCAAAAAAGCTTCAACTTGAATTAGTACATAGAGGACACAGAACACAAATATGATGGGACTTCAAAGATGCTCTAGAAGCAAGAAGCTACCCTCTGACTCACTCAGCACTGTATAATGCAAATTTTTTAAATGGCAAAAATCTGTCTGTATGAAGTCCACTTAAAAAAAACCAGGAATATCTTTGGCAACTACCAAATGTTATTAACTAATACACTAGCACAGAAAACATGGAACTGTCCCAAACTGAAAAGGCCAACAGCTGCCTTCACTAACTTTCTCATGGTCTTGCCATCATATTAGTCTTCAACCATAAGAAGAATTAAAGGCTTCTCCAATTTTTCTGTATAATATTCTATCAGTGTTCTCCATTTCATTCAGGTTACACCACAGGCATGTTAGAAAAAGCCTCACTTTGCTAAAGGCTTTGAGAACAGTAGATAGTAATTTAGACACTCTTAAGCATCCACTGAAATTGTGCCACTGCTTGACATTTAATTTATACATTTGTGGTTACATCTTTAACAAACAGCAGTTTGTAAAATAAATACTTCTGAAATAATTTTATTTTGTAGTGTTCCTTATGCTTCCATGGCTCAGATTTGGCTGCGAAGCCCCAGGGCATTGGAAGAGAGATCTCTGGTTTCTATTTATGGGAACATTTTTACAGATGGAAAAAAAAAAAAAGAGATGATCTAAATGATAAAATCCTTGACTAAAAGGAATACAAAGAGAGAGTATTTAAGAAGTCATATACTGAAAAACATTAAGACAGTAGAAATTAATATCCCATTACTCTGTGGTGATTATTTCCAGCACTTTGATCAACACCAGAACGAAGTACGGTTGATTTTCAGTGAGTGGCCATCTTGCCTGGTGTCTAGGCTACATGTTTGGACTGTTATCATTTTATTCTCTTCCGCTTCAAGGATGAGCTCCCACTAGACAYCTTCCTTATTGGATCACTAATAGGAAACAATTTCAATCACTACCTGACCATACATTTCCAAGACCATGCCAGAAGCTTATGTATGGAGGAGATACTCTAATGTTTGACTGAGTTTGTTCAGTGGACTCAGAAGACATGAAGGAGAAGAGCACAGCATACAACTTTCCTCCTTCACAACTTCGGCAATAAACAGGTTTCTCCTCCTGAAAAGAGTAGTTTTGTGTTAATGGAAAAAATCTCACCTAAACAACTCCAATAGCAACATTGAAATTGGTATCACAATTTTCTTTTTTTAAACTGTTTTCCCCCCATAATATTCCCTCACCTGGAGAGGGACCATTTATAGATTCCACCATTATCTAAATCCTCTCTAAATATAACTGTGAAGTACATTTTTTCAGTAAGTCAATATAATATGGAAAAAATATAAATAAAATACAATATATTAAGATATAACGAAGTTGGTAATAGTTATTAATTAATATAGAATGATGTAGTGCAATTTAAGTTTTAGACAGTTTCTTGCAGCCTGAACACACTGTCATGAAATATGTGAAATATGTTCAATAAATARCAACACTGCAACAGAGGCAAGACTTTTTGCAACCTGCACCTTCACTATCTTTAACACAAAACCCCCTACATGAGCTCTGCCCAGACTTACATTTTTAATGTCAGTATTTGTACTGAACACATTCCTTTAATTGCAGGAAAACATTTCTTTAAATAAACAGACTAAAGCTACCAGTTTAATTTTAAACAGCATCACTGTTGTAGATGTCTGATACCCTTAGACAGATCCAATTTTCTGCAAATAAAATGTACCAACTGACAGAATAATATTAGTTTAATATACTAGTTTAATAAAGCTGTTCATTTAAATGTGACCTAAACTATGTCTCAGATCAAAGGTAGCTCTTTCAGTTTGAGTTACTGGTTTGGGCACACTTTTAACACTTTTCCCCTAGCTGCAAACCATTCCTTTCCTTGGAAAATAGCTGTCAGCAGGTACCACAGCCTCTCCATTAATTACCTGCACAAATAGTTTTGTTCTGGCATGGTTTCCTGACAGTCTGAAAAATGTAAGTAACTACAGTAAATTATAAACCTTACTGACCCCCAAAATACTGAAAAAAGGCATTTTTCTATAAATGAGAGTTCAGCAAAACCTGCTGCAATGAGTCATCCAATAACCTCAACACTCCCTAACAAACAATTTAAAATATTTTGCACCAAGGGGCTCTGAAACCCCAATTTTAGAAATATATTTTGTATTTTAGTAGTATTATAATGCAGTTTGATCCCACATTTACAGAAGTGGATGGAAAATCTGTGACAGAAGTAAAACCAGGATGAAGGAGATCCTAAATAAACTAGTCAATATCTAACTGATTTAAATAGTTTAGCCATGTATTAGTATCACCAGCATTATTTACTTCATAGTCCAACAAAACATTTATGTTCCAATTCTCAGGTCTGTTAAACAGATATATCCAGAAATCATCCTCATAATCACATGAGTATTCAAATTACTATATCAAACTCAGAAATAACCCCTCCAATGTCAGAATGTTGTTTTTCAAACTCTAAATTTTGGACACCTCTAGAGCCATATAAGGCAGAAATACCTCACAATGCTTCCATATTTTATTACAGAACTTTTGATCACTCCTTCTCTTTCAGAAGAAAGAGAACTGATCTTCTAAATACTAACTGATCTTCTGAATACTTCTCCTTTGTTCAGCATAATTCTCCATAATCCTCCTCTGTCAAAATACAATGATTTTTTTTTGATAGA